TCGTCGTCGGCATCGGCGTCGTCGTCGTCTTCGTCGACGTCGACGTCGGCGGTGTCGTCGTAGTCGATGTCTGCGGCGCCGTCGTCGTCGTTGTCGCTGTCGTCGTCGGTGTCGTGGCCAAGTGCCATGTGGTACCTACCGCCACGGTCTTGTGTTAAGAAGTCTTGCGACCAAGTTGCGGGTGGGAGGGTGGGATGTTTGCACGAGCAGTAGAGAGGACACAGCTCCAAGACGGTCAAAGTGGATTCTCCTTTCTCAAAGGAGGATAGACTCTACCCCCCCCCCGGACTTATCCGTTCCCCCTTCGGGTATGTAAATCATATACGATTCTAACCACTCGTCCATCCTAAATATGAAATCGTAGCATCCCAGCCAAACGGGTTTCCCCCCCTGAGGTCCCCTGGTAAAACAAACACTATGCGGTGACATTTTTTTGCTCTAGCAGAGCACTTGTTCACGAATCCCTTGCAACAAATGAGCCGAAGTGCACACGCGCGCGTCGTCGCGCGCGCATGACGAAATCCTTCAAAAACCTTCGGTGCCGGAAAGATGTCGCAATCGAGTTATATATAAATATATATATATATATATATATACAACATTTGCTAAAAAAAACTTCCGCGCGAGCTCTTGCGAAATCTTCACAAAACCATAGGTTTTTATATATTTTCACAACATGCTACCAAACGGGCTTCGCGCGCGCGCATGTCGAAATCTGTCGAACGCCGTTGCGCGTGTGCCGTCGCGAGAATCCTCAGCAAAAATGGGACGAAGTGCACACGCGCGCGTCGTCGCGGGCGTACGCCGAAAACCTTCAAAACCCATCGGTTTCGGAAGGATTTCGAAATCGTGCGTCCAAACAACCTACAAAAACACAAGGTTTCGCAACACGGATTTTCAACAAAAGCGTGCGCGTGCGCGCTCTTGCGTCGTCGTCGTCGTCGTCGCCGTCCTCCCTCCTCCCGCGTCGTCGTCGTCGTCGCCTACGTCGTCCTCTGTCTTTTCTCGTGTTCGTCGTCGTCGTCCTCTTTGGCGTCGTGGTCGTTTCCGTCGTCGTTGTCGCCGTGGTCGTCCGTCCTCCTCCTCCCACGTCGTCGTCGTCGTCCGTCGTCGGCGTCTCGTCGTCGGTTCTATTTCGTCACGTCGTCGTCGTCGTTGTCGTCGTCGTCTTCCCTCCTCCCTCGTCGTTGTCGTCGTCGGCGTCGCCGTCCTTCCTCCTTCGTCGTCGTTCGCGTCGTCGCCGTCCTCCCTCCTCCCTGGTCGTGGTCGTCGTTGTCGTCGTTGTCGCCGTCGTCGTCCTTCCTCCTCCCTCGTCGTCGCCTTCGTTGGCGTCGTCGTCGTCGTCTTCGTCGTCGTCGGCGTCGTTGTCGTCGTCGAAGTCGTCGGAGACGTCGTCGTCGTCGTCGTCGTTGTCGTCGGTGTCGTCGTAGTCGGTCTTAGGAGGTTTTGCAAACCAAGTTGCGAGTGGGAGGGTGGGATGTTTGCGCGAGCAGTGGAGAGGACAGCTTCAAGTTGAGCAAGTGATTGATTCTCCTGTCTAAAAAACATTAGACTCTACCCACTCCCCGGACTTAACGCTTCCCCCTGGGATAATTTAATTTCATATATATATATATAGTCTGCACAGTCGTCCATCCTAAATATGACATCATACCATCCCAGCCAAACCGGTACCCCCCCTGAGGTTCCCTTGTTAAAAAACACGATGCGGTGACATTTGTTGCTCTAGCATAACACTTTTTCACGAATCCCTTGCAACAAATGAGACGAAATGCGCACGCGCGCGTTGTCGCGCGCGCGTGCCGAAATCCTTCAAAAACCTTCGGTGCCGGAAGGATTTCGCAATCGAGTTTCCAAAACACATACAATAACAATAACACAGGGTTTCGCAACACTGATTTGCTAAAAAAGCTTCCGCGCGAGCTCTTGCGAAATATGAAGGAAACAAAGGGTTTTTCAAGATTTTCACAAAATACTACCAAACGGGCGTCGCGCGCGCATGTCGAAATCTGTAGAATGCCCTTGCGCGTGTGTCGTCGCGAGAATTCATTGCAAAAAAAAGACGAAGTGCAGACGCGCGCGTCGTCGCGCGCGTACGCCGAAATCCTTCAAAACCCATTGGTTTCGGAAGGATTTCGAAATCGCGCGTCCAAAAAACCTACAAAAACACAAGGTTTCGCAACACGGATTTTCAACAAAAGCGTGCGCGCGCGCTCTTGCGTCGTCGTCGTCGTCGTCGTCGCCGCCCTCCCTCCTCCCGCGTCGTCGTCTTCGGCGTCGTCGTTTTCTGTCTTTCCTCGTCGTCGTCGTCGTCGTCTTGGCGTCGTCGTCGTTTCCGTCGTCGTTGTCGCCGTGGTCATTGTTTCCTCTTCCCTCGACGTCGTCGTCCGTCGTCGGCGTCTCGTCGTCGACCCTCCTATTTCGTCGCCGTCGTCGTCGTCGTCGTCGTCGTCTTCCCTTCTCCCTCGTCGTAGTCGTCGTCGGCGTCGCCGTCCTCCCTCCTTTTTCGTCGTTCGCGTCGTCGCCGTCCTCCCTCCTCCGTCGTCGTTGTCGTCGTCGCCGTCGTCGTCATCCCTCCTCCCTCGTCGTCGTCGTCGTCTTCGTTGGTGGCGTCGTTGTCGTCGTCGTCGTTGTTTTCGTCGCCGTCGGCGTCGGCGTCGTCGTCGTCGGCGTAGTCGTCGTCGTCGTCGGCGTTGTCATCGTCGTCGTCGTCGTCGGCGTCGTCGTCGTCGGTGTCGTCGTCGTCGTCGTCGTCGTTGTCGTCGTCGACGTCGTTGGAGACGTCGTTGGTGTCGTCGTAGTCGGTGTCGGCGGCGCCGTCGTCGTCGTTGTCGCTGTCGTCGTCGGCGACGGTGTCGTGGCCAAGTGCCATGTGGTACCTACCGTCACGGTTTTGTCTTAACAGGTTTTGCGACCAAGTTGCGGGTGGGAGGGTGGGATGTTTGCACGAGCAGTGGAATGGACAGCTTCAAGACGGTCAAAGTGGATTCTCCTTTCTAAAAAGAGAATAGACTCCCCCCCCCCGACTTATCGCTTTCCCCCCGGGATAGTATAATTTCGCACATATCTATATATATATATATATATATATATATATATATATATATTCTGCTCACTCGTCCATCCTAAGTATGAAATCGTACCATCCCAGCCAGGCCGGGTTCCCCCCCATGAGGTTCCCTTGTGAAAAACACAATGCGGTGACATTTGTTGTTCTAACATAGCACTTTTTCACGAATCCCTTGCAAAAAATGTGACGAAGTGCTCACGCGCGCGTCGTCGCGCGCGCATGCCGAAATCCTTAAAAAAACCTTCGGTGCCAGAAGCATTTCGCAATCTAGTTTCCAAGAAACATACAAAAATACATGGTTTCGCAACACTGACTTGCTAAAAAAGCTTCCGCGCGAGCTCTTGCGAAATATGCAGGAAACCATGGGTTGTTCAAGATTTTCGCAAAATGCTGCCAAACGGGCTTCGCGCGCGCGCATGTCGAAATCTGTCGAACGCCCTTGCGCGTGCGCCGTCGCGAGAATCCTCTGCAAAAAAATGGGACGAAGTGCAGACGCGCGCGTCGTCGCGGGCGTATACCGAAAACCTTTAAAACCCACCAGCTTCGGAAGGATTTCAAAATCGTGCGTCCAAAAAACATGCAAAAACCCAAGGTTTCGCAACACGGATTTTCAACAAAAGCGTGCGCGCGCGCTCATGCGTCGTCGTCGTCGTCGTCGTCGTCGTCGCCGTCCTCCCTCCTAAACGCGTCGTCGTCGTCGTCGCCTACGTCGTCCTCTGTCTTTTCTCGTGTTCGTCGTCGTCGTCCTCTTTGGCGTCGTGGTCGTTTCCGTCGTCGTTGTCGCCGTGGTCGTCTTTCCTCCTCCTCCCACGTCGTCGTCGTCGTCCGTCGTCGGCGTCTCGTCGTCGTCCCTCCTATTTCGTCGCCGTCGTCGTCGTCGTTGTCCTCGTCGTCTTCCCTCCTCCCTCGTCGTTGTCGTCGTCGGCGTCGCCGTCGTTCCTCCTTCGTCGTCGTTCGCGTCGTCGCCGTCCTCCCTCCTCCCTCGTCGTTGTCGTCGTTGTCGTCGTTGTCGCCGTCGTCGTCCTTCCTCCTCCCTCGTCGTCGCCTTCGTTGGTCGTCGTCTTCGTCGTCGTCGGCGTCGGCGTCGTTGTCGTCGTTGTCGTCGTCGGAGACGTCGTCGGTGTCGTCCTAGTCGTTGTCGTCGGTGTCGTCGTAGTCGGTCTTAACAGGTTTTGCAAACCAATGTGCGGGTGGGTGGGTGGGTTGTTTGCGCGAGCAGTGGAGATGACGACTTCAAGTTCAGCAGAGTGGATTGCACCACGTAGATTGCACCACGTAGATTGCTAGACGCACACTGTCTGGGGTCTACGCTGGTTAACATCTAGTGTTTGCGGGTGGACCAAAATATCCGATTGGTCTTGTCATTTGCAAGTTGACCGCTCCAGCAGCAGCTCGGCCCAGTGACCTCTGCACGGCGGAGAAAGAGGTGCCCTCCCTAAAATGGCGGCCGGCGCCGCCTCGTTCGGCGGCGGAGATCCGCGATTCTATGCCGCCACGCTGGTTCCGGGCAGGCTGTGCTGCCCGGCGGAAGGGGACGAGGAGGGGAGAAGCAGGCAGACGACGATGAACGCCCAGGCGGGAGGCCAGGGCCGGCGGGGCGGGCGGGCAGGCAGAAGACGGGCCAGGCGGAGACAGCAGGCAGGGAGCAGGAGGAAAGGAAAGGGAGGGAAGCAACGAGCAGAAGCGAAGGGAGGGGGAGGAGGGGGAGGAGGACAAGGAGGAGAGAAAGCAGCGGCCGCAAGCAGACAGGCCGGGCCAGGGGCCGGCAACGAAAGGCTCGGAACCTGCGCTTTCACGGCGTACATGTGTGTAATGTTTGGGACAAGTATTCTAGCCACCCGTGTTACATGTCTTCCAGTCTTCCGGCGCCCAATTGCGGGAAGTGCGCTCTCTTATTCCCAGGAGTGGCTGCATCACCTAAGTCCCCAACACGAAGCCGCTGATGCCGCCAGAACTCGACGTCAGCCTGGCTGAAGCCCTGCCCATGATATCCGCGTCTTGCGCGCATGCAACAATCTCTCCGTTCCAACCGCCTTGCTGTAAGCAATCTTCTGTGAAATTAAAGCCCGACGGCGCAACGATCAACAGCTCGGTCGGATGAGTGGACTGTAAATCAATTGCTACCTGGGCCGCGACGACAGCCGTAGGGGGACAATCTGGCGACCTGACCTCCAGCGTCACGTGGTCCACCAATTGAAAGGCTGGAGTCATAGCGTCGTTCGTGGTACGGAGATGCTGACCAGGCAGCCCGTAGTCGGAATAAGCCTCGACCTTCCAGCGCGACGCCGTGGCGCTCGCCAACGCCGGAGTCTGCACGGTAAACCGGAGCTCGTAGTCCGTGCCTGCCAGCAGAGGGGTGTCTAGCGTTGCGGTGAGGGTGCTGCCCGAGCTCAACGCGGTGTACCCATGGAAGGCCCCGTTGTTGACGCGGACGACAGCGAAATCCTCGAGGGGGTGAGGGCTAGGATGAGAATTAGGACGCTGACGCTGATGATGGTGACATAGCAGACCAGAAGAAACATAACATACACCACTAATGCTGCAAGGCAGCACCCTGTTCCCATGCACAGTCCCTTCATACTTCACAACGAGTATGTCTTGTCACTACGGCGGACGCCTGCTGGAAGCGTGAGGGCCCTGTGGACCCATGGGCCTGCACTGTGGGACCCCTGTGTCTTGAAATGCGCATCAACAATGATACATGCAGGTGCGACCCCACAGCTTACAACACACAATAAACTTGTCGGACTTACACCCTCAATTAGCCCAAATGTGCGAAACACAAATATGAGAACACGATTCTCGGAAGGAATCGCCATACAAATGTGCAGCTGGTGGAACGTCCCAAAGTTGGGATGTGACATCGCAGGGATATCTCAGGCGAGATCCAGAATTTGAAAATTGGCCGCCCCGCAATCGTGTAACTTGGTAGATTCTACACTTAATGCCCGAAGACACGAGGACATAGGATGCGAACGCAAATGGATGACATATATACTGGAAACCAATAACACGAACGTGCGCGGCGCTATACCGATAGCAGCAAACTTAAAAAAATATAAAAACAAACAAAAAAACAACAACAAAAACCACGTCCATGCAACTGATTGCAAGTTTGAAGGCGAAAGTGCGCGACGCATAAACGCGAACCATACTTCGAAGACAACGTGCCCTCCATGTATGCAGCCGGTGGAGGACTTTATGACAAAAATGCGCGGCACTACAAAGAAAATCACGTTTTGAAGAGATACCTTTCTTCATCCGCATAGGGGCGTTGTTTGTTGAATGTGCGTGGTGCTCAAGCGATAACCACATCCTGGAAACCATTCAGTATTCATCTGTTGAGCTGTTGTCACCTTTTCACATGCATTTGCACGACGCTGGAACGACAACCAACTGTTGAAAACGTCTCGCCCTCCATCCGTGCAGCTCATGAGGAAAATGTGGTGTTGTCTCCGCGGCGATACATGGTGACACATATGTTGACCAACACGAATGCTCCGTCCATGAAATCGATGGGAAAATTCAAATCTCTGACGAAACGTGATTGAGAGGAAGACAGGTTGACGATGGCGAATGAGGCGGAAGGCATCGGAGTCCTGGGCGAAGAGCTGATATTGCGCCGATATCTCCGAGACGCTGGTGATAACCAGCGTGCTGTCAGCCTCTATATCCATCGTGCTGGAAAATACAAATTTCGCCAACGACTTCTCAAGCATCCGCGGGCCCCATAACGACGGAACATATTGCGCGTGTCCATTCTGAATCATCTGGCTCTTGACGGTTAGCAAACCGGGCTGGAAAAATCCACCGTCGAAGCCGAGGGCCTCATCCATCTGATCACCATTGCCCAGCTTCGTCACAAGGTCAAAAACAGTCTGGCCTCCTGGCGCGCCAAGCCTGACATTGCCGATCACGATGAGAGTCCGTATGCCCACTACGATGTCGGCCCGGATGCGGATGATGTGTGGATGTTTTGAAATCACCTCGCGCCGAAACAACACTCTTGCTAAACACACGCACGCTCCTCCATTCCATCTGTTTCCTCCTCCGCCTCCGCGTGTGTGTACTCCACGTTTCTTCCGCATCTCCATCCCCAATCCTTCTTCGCCACCTCCTTTTCCCAATTTCCTTCTCCTCTTCTCCACAACCACAAACCAGGGTCTTCCACCGGGAGCCGTATTCCGGCGTCCGGGATACGTGCACGCACTCGCAAACACACACACACACAAACACACACACACACATGCTGTGGACTGATATCATATTACATAATGGTCAGGGGCCGCAGCGGAAGCATCGAGCTCACAGATCATGTAATCCCAACAGCCCTCTGGGCTTAGGTGGTATAACCCGTTTTTGTCTTCTCTCTTCCACTGAAACCCCTCCCCCTACCCCCTCCCCTGGGCCTGGACGGGGCGCGCCGCGAGGCGTTAGAGCGTCCAAGATGGCCCAAGATTGCTCCAAGAGGCGCTCAAAGTCGCAAGATGGCCTCCAAGATGGGCCATGTTACTTCAAGGTGGGTCAAGATAGCCTCCGACCTACACCCAAGAGGTCCCAAGTCAGCCCCAAAACGGATCCAAGTGCCCTTCGAGCCCTCCACGGCGCTCTCCAAGATGCCAGAACCCTTCAAAATCCTTAGGGAAATCAGCGTTTTTGGCATATTCTCGCTTTTTCGCTTCCGATGGGCTTTGGAAGCCTCAAGATGGCACCATGATGGCCCAAAAGGGCCCCAAGAGGGGCCCAAGAAGGCTGAAAACGGCCCCAAGATCGCCCAAGAGGCGCCCAAGAGCGTTCCAAGACGGCCCCAAGACGCCGTTTGAGAGCCTCCGATGGGGGGGATCCTAATTAAGGCACCTCTTCTTTTTGAGAAGTGGGGCCCAAGATGGCCCCAAGAGGCCTCCCAGCCTCTCCCAAAGACCCTCCACCCCGCCCTTTTTGGCCCAAGATGGCTCCAAGAGAGCCCTAGATAGCCCAACATGGCCTTCAAAATGGCCTCAGATAGCCAAGCATGGCTCAAGATAGTCTCCGACCGACCTCCAAGAAACCTCAAGACAGCCTGAAGATGGCCCAAGATAGCCGAGCATGGCTCAATATAGCCTCCGACAGCCAAAAACCGAACATGGCTCAAGATAGCCTCCAAAGAGGCCTCAAGAAAACTAGCAATCGATTATGGATGGGCTGGTGGGGATACTTTTTCAGTCGCGGCCGCGAGACAAAGGTCAGGCGGCGAGAAGCAAAGCCCGGGGCACGAACGAGGCTACTTAACAGGCCGGCCGGCCCGCTCACAAAGCAGCCGCGAAGCTGATGGGGAGCTGATGGCAGGGCTAACCTGAGAGCTCGAGCGCGTGCACAGACAAAATGTCATGGAATTCGGAACCTGCCACAGTATGAGACGTGAACCAGGATAACCAAGCCCGTCAAACTAAGAGGGGCCACGACCCACACAGTAGAGACGTGAACCAGGATGGCCAAGTCCTTCGTGCTGAGTGGGAGCAAGTGGGAGGCCATTGGAGTGAGTCGCCAGTGGGGCGCCAGGCTCCAAACGCCCGGACGAGCTGTCGTGAGCCGTGGTGCAAAGCAACTGGGGAAAGCTGAAGGTGAGCCTGGAATGCTGCACCTGCTGCGGAAGGCTGAACCACTCCGTAACGAAGTCAGCACCTGTCAGACCACCCCACAGCGCAGGGGGGAACCGAGCGACTGTGAGCCTCGCAGTGCGTGCCGGCAAGGCGTCAGGCCTCTGAGTGGGGGGGGGGGGGGGCAGCTGGCGTGGTCAGCATCGCCAGCGGGGAAGAGTAGAGGGAGCTGCGCTGGTGTGAGTGATGCCTTGAAGGCGAAACTAGACCAGAGCAGGCGAATCCCCAAGAGAACAGAACGGGCTGTACCTCCCGGGGCACGTGGCGCCTGTGCGATGGGGGCGAGCCGATGTCAGAGGGCGATGCGCCTGGGGGAGCTGCGCTGTGGTAGACGCGAGGGCCAGGGGGCAAAGTCTGGCCCAGTCCGCCGATTGGCACTTCCGCCCAAGACCCGGGGAGCGCCAACACACACCACGTGGTCCTCCAGGGTCGCAGCAAGCCGCCGCTGAGAGTGATGGGCCAGACCACGGGCGGCGAGGAACTCGGGCGGCCCTGGGAGGGGGGGGCAACCACGCCGACGTCTGACAATACGTCTGGCGCGCCCCGGGGCCAAGGGCGGGGGGCACCCGCCTGGCCCGAGAGGGGAGAGGCTAGGGGAAGCAACGCCTCTCCCCTCGGCCTAGCCCCGAGGCCGTGGGTCAGGGGCCAAGGTCATTCTCTTGGGTCCTCCAGGGTCGCAGCTGATCGCCGCTCAAGAGCAAGTAGCATCGATGGGTGGTCCTCCAGGGTCGCAGCAAGCCGCCGCTGATGTGAATCTGTAGCGTGACAAAACAATGGGGGTGGCTGGTCCTCTGGGGTCGCAGCTGATCGCCGCATGAGTCTGTATTGGACAGAGATATGACCAGGCAAGGTCGCGTCACTGCCAGGCAGACGGGGGGGGGCTGCGGCCCCCTGCCTGCCCCAGGGCAGGAAGTGGGCCGCAGCATCCCCCCCGCCTGCCTGGCGGCGAGAAAAGGCTTGCCGCAGTCCTCTGTGTAAGAGCAGCGTGCGATGCCACTTCCAGCCTCCGCCGCGCGCGCTGAGACGCCCGCCGGGCCCCCGAGGAGAGAGGCGGGGGAAAAGCCGCACCCGTGGGATAGAGGAAGTGGTTGGTCCTCTGGGGTCGCAGCTGATCGCCGCTCAGGTCAGTGGAATATTGGGTGGTTCCTTCGAAGGTCATGGCGCCGAGGGACGGGTGAGGGCCTCTCCGCGGACCTCGGGCTGCGCCGAGTGCTGACCCAGTGCTGTGGCTGATGACGTCTGGCTCAAACTTTGCCCGTCGCATTCGCTCAGGAGCGACAGGGCCTGCGCCCACTGGGCTCCAATGCCACCTGCCGCATTTTGCTGGGCAGCGACAGGGCCTGCTGCCAGTGCCCGCCCTTCTCGCACCTGTTCCCAGCGCTGCAACTGATGACAGTGGGCTCCAACTTAGCTTCCCACATACCGGCGAGTAGCGCCGGGGCATGTTGCCATCCCCCGTTTTCCTGGCGCACTGATTCCAGCGTCGTAGCCGACAACGCTGCGTTCCAACTCCACCTCTGACATCCCACTGAGCAGCGACAGCGCGAGTTGCCATTGCTCACCCCTGGCGCGCGCGCTGATCCCAGCGCTGTAGCTCACAACGTCCAGCTCGCACCTCGCACCTCACGACGGCCCCTGTAGACAGCACCGGGATGCAAGAGATACCCTGCGCCCCCGTGGGATGCCTCGAGCCCGTAGTCCCTGCTACTCCCAGCGTGGAGTACCTTGAGCACCCGCGGGATATCTCGTGCTCGACGCCTCTGCAGCTCCCCGCGTGGACCCAGGGACGCGGCAAACGCCGAGCGTGCACGGGGGGTGGGCGGGGGGTGGCGCGCCCTGGGTGGAGCGAAGACGGAGCGCGCGCGGGGGGGTGGCGAGTGACGGCCCTTGGTCGCCAGCGCCGGGATGCAAGAGTACCTCGAGCCCCCGTGGGAGGCCCCGGGCCCGTAGTCCCGGCAGCCCCCCGCGTGCATCCAAGGTCGCACTGTGGCCCTCCAGGGTCGCAGCTGACCGCCGCTGATGTTCGTGAGCCTGTAGAGTGACAAACCGCTGCTGAAGAGAGTGGGCAGCCAGCCCCGCTGAAGGCTGGGCGGGGCATCCGGGGGCGCAGCAAACCGCCGCTGAGAGGAGAGTAATACCATGTAGATCCATCTATGCTTATTTAGTGCAGCTGCTTATTTAGTAGTCGGCCTTAAAGTCATCATCCTTAAAATTTAGCGTCGACGCTAAATCTTAGCGACGATCAGCGTCGACGCATGCTCCAACGCGGCATGACATTCGAGAAAGGAGGTGTGACCCCCTGACGAGGGCGCGTGCGCCCTGGTGGAGCAGGAGGCGCCGCTCCTCCGCAACGCTGTGGCGCGTGCACTTGTTCTGTCCGCGCGCGCGGCAGTCGCGCGAGTCGCACCACCGGCCGCGCGCGGTGGCGCGCGATCACCGCTCGGGAGAAGCCCGTCGCTGAGAGCGGGGGGCCGCGCCTCTTCGCCACGTGGCCCACGCTGCCCCCGAAGTCCTCGCCCTGTAGGTCCAGCACAGCGACGGCTGCCCTCCCGCGAAGGCCATCTCGAGGAGCAGGTGCGCCTTCGGCTTGACGCGCCAATTCCTCGGCTGCAGCGCAGCAAGAGAGGTGAACAAGATCACGAACCTGCTGGCGGAGTCGCGCATCAGATCCTTTCTGAAGATGCACTGGCCGCTCAACGTGTGGTAGCAGGAGTGCAAGTGGCGCGTGGCGTTCAGCGCGGCGTCGTCCACGGCGCTCCCAGAAACGCAATGCGTCTCGGCCGCTTCCTTGCAGAATGAAATCAGACGCCTCAGGATGGTCGCCCGGCCGCGGAACTTCGGGTGCGCTTTCTTGGGCTTCGCCGTCCGCTCGTTGAAGTCACGGGGGCGGTCAGGCGTCGAGTGCGCGTCGTAGTGCGCCTGGGTGAGCCTCCGCATCTCGTCGCTCTGTTGCGCGCGACGGCGCCCTGGGGGCTTCTTCGTGATGTGCCGGAGCAAGGCCCCCACGACGTCCGCCCCGACCCCTTGGCCCACGGCGCGCAACCAGTCGACCTTGAACACGTCGATCGCGATGCCAGGGATACTCAGCGCAGGCGCGACGCGGCCTCCGTTGCGCAGGATGATGGCGATCGCGCCCTGCAGCGAGCGCCTGCTCGTTGGCCTCGCCCACCGAGAACTCGCCGACGTCTGCGCCGTCACCTGGGGGGCGCGCAAAGGAGAGCGGGGAGGAAGCAGGGAACGCAGAAACAAAGCAAGGTGTAACCAAGAAATCCTCCTCCTGCCCCTCCTCCCCCTCCCCCCATCCCACCCTTCTCCCCCCCCCCCCCCATCCGCGTTTGCTCGGGGCCAGTCGCCTCCCCCGGGAGAATGTTGCATTTCCAGCGGCGCCCAGAGCCCTCGTTCCAAGCGGGGGGGGAAAACAAAACCCTTTCCACGCTTTCCAATCCGCGCGAAACTGCACCAGGGCACCGCGGGCTGGCAAGGGGGAGCCCTCGAGGGCCCTGCGGTCGGCCCACGCTTGCGGAGCTTTATCCGAGGGGCGCGAGAACGGCCTCTTGTCGCGCCGCTCTCGCGGGCAGAAGCCTCTCCACAAAGACAGAAAACTCCACTGTCTGATGCCGAAGATGTCGCGCCAGGTGTTCGTGGACAAGTGGCTCTTCAAAATGCTGAACACTGGGATTCTCAAGTTGCCGTAGGGTCCGTCGGGGCCAAGGCCAGGCAAGTTCATGCCGAGGACTTCGACCGACGCAGATCTGCCCCACTTGGTGGGGACCCCGTCCTGCCGCAGGCCGATGGCCACCGCGGGGCTGCCCAGCTTCGCTTCCGCGCCCTGCATGCGCGCGCGGTCGCCCTCTTCCAGCCCCTGCTTCTGCAGCAGCACGTCCAGGTCGCCGTGCCTCCCCGGCGCCAGAAGGACCTCGCGCGGTAGAAAGAAGGGCGCTTGGCGTTCCACACGCGGACCTTTGCCACGCACTCCTTCGGCCACAACGTTCCCTTGAGAAACTTCCTCCTTAAGGTCATGGACGTGTTGGCACGCCCCGCTCTCAGGCCCCCAACGCCCGCGGCCCCCCCTTCCTCGGCGTCGGCGGCGAGCCTTTGCATGTCGCCCGGAGACAAAGTATTCCTCATCATGCGCGTCTGCAAGGTGGCGCGCAAGCGCTTTGCAGGCGGCAGCACGCTGGTGCCCACCGCCGGCTGGGGCTTCGAGAACATGGCGGCGCGCCCGCCCCGCGGCCCGCCAGGCGCCTCGCGTCTGAAACAACCCCTGTCCACCCGGTTCTGCTCCAGGGGCACGGGTGACGGCTTGTGCCTCTTCCGCACCTTCAAAGGCCTCCGCCGCTTCGGGCCCCGGATACTCCGCGGCCTCCACAGCTTCCGCCCATTCCGCCGCGGCCTCCCTCTCCTTTTCCCTGCCCTGCTGCTGCTGCTGCTGCTGCTGCTGCTGCTGCTGCTGCTGCTGAGGGAGCAAGGGTACCTCCTAATGCCCTACTGAGGGAGTGTCTTGAGGTCTCGTGGGGCCCTCGTCACCAGGGGTGCTGCTGACGGCCGTCTGAGCTGTTGTGGGTCTCTGTTCGCCAGGGTTGCCGCTGGCGGCCGCAAGAGTGCTTGAAGACTCTTCGCCTGTCTTTTTGCCCAGTCTGCTGGCCGCCAGGGGTGCCCGGAAGGGCGTCAGGGAGCGGGGGTGCCCGTTCCGTTCCCTTCCCCTGTGCTTTTCTGCTGCGGCTGCGGTTGCGGGTGCTGCTGATGTTGCTGCCGCTGCTGCGGCTGCTGCTGCTGCTGCAGCTGCAGGTTTCTGTTGTTGCTGCTGCTGCTGCTGCTGCTGCTGTTGCTGCTGCTGTTGCTGCTGTCTTGCTGCTGTGGCTGCTGCTGCTGCTGTTGCTGCTGCTGCGGTTGCGGCTGCAGGTGCTGCTGCTGTTGCTGCTGCTGCTGCGGCTGCTGCTGCTGCTGCAGCTGCTGCTGCTGCTGCTCCTGAAGCTGCTGTTCCTGAAGCTGCTGCTGATGCTGCTGCTGTTGCTGCTGCTGCTGCTGCTGCTGCGGCAATGGCTGCGGCTGCTGCTGCAGTGGCTGCGGCAGTTGCTGCCGTTGCGGCCGCTGCAGCCGCGGGGGGGCGGCAGGGGCGGCGGCGGCGGCGGCCGCCGCAGCCGCCGCGCCAGCGGCCTCGCCGCGGGCGGCCGCGGGGGCGGCCGCGGCGCGCAGCCACCGAGCCCGCCCCGCCGCCGTCCCGCGGCGGGAGACCGCAGCGGCGGCAGCAGCGTCCGCCGCGACAGCGGCCGCCACGCCGGTCGCGGAGCCGGCTGCCGCCGCCACCGCCGGAGGGGATCCGGCGGCGGCGGCAGCAGCGGTGGCGACGGCAGCGGCGGCAGCAGCGGCGGCGGCCGCGCCGCCGGCGGCTCCAGGGGCGGCCGCGGCGGCGCCGGCCACAGCGCCCTCCGCCGCCGCCGCCGCCGGCGGGGAGCCAGCAGCGGCAGCGGCAGCGGCGGCGGCAAATAATAAAAAAACAAAAAAAAAACATAAAAAAAAAAAAAAACAAAAAAAAAAAAAAAAAAAAATAACAAAAAAAAAGAAAACACGCGGCGGCGGAAACCACCGCCAGCCAGCCGGGGGCCGAGCCGGGCCGGCCGCCGGCCGCCTCCGACGGCGGCGGCGGCAGCGGCGGCGGCGGCGGAGGGCCGCCAAGCCCAGGCGCGGCGTCCCGCCGCGCCGCCACCAGCCGCTGGCGGCGGCGCAGCGCGGCCCCAGAGAGGGCCGCCCCGGAGGCGGACATGGCTCCGGCCCGAGCGCGTACCTGAGAAGGGGCGTGCTCGAGCCGAGATGGCTTGAGCCAGGGGGGGTACGCGAAGCGTCAAGAATTGTCACTATCATAAGCATAAGCGTGAATTTTGATGTTATCCTCCTGACCCGCCTCGTGGCCAGTCGAGGTCACTGTGGCGTTAGCGAACGACGTGCTGGTAGGTTGGAGCGTATGGATTTCCAACTCGTCGGCAGCGAACATAGGTTCGAATGAGACTGATATGCTGGACAGCTGCCCAGCCGCCTTGTTCTGGCCCACCAAAGCGATGCCCACGTCAACGAGCTGCGGCACTGCGTCCCAACTCCGCAATGCCTCTGTGGCCATGATCCGCGTGTCTGGGCCGAGGTGGCTCACAATCCAGTTGTTCTGCATCACGTGCGGCGTCGCTGGCGGATTAGCAGTGTCAAGAATGAACTGCAAGATTGTCTCCTCGCTAACGTGCTCATGCAAAAGAATGGTCATCTCTCTCCCGTTGCAACTCACCTTCGTGCTCAGGTTGATGTCGCCCCTCCAGGCGAAGCCGTTGCACTGGCCGTTCCCGCCTGGCGCTTCGAGGGTGAAACCTGCCGGCGACTCCACCGAAATTCTGTCGCCATGCTCCAGGCTGCCGGGAAATGCAACCTCAAAGCGCAAGTCTAGCACGGGCTCCTCCCCTTTCGTGCTGCTGATGTCCATGCACGTCCACCTGATACAGGGGTGCCCGGCGAGCAGAGGTGGCGAACAGTTTGTGGGCATGCGAACACTTCCCCTGGTATCTGCATGATCTGAGCTCGGACAGCGAACGATAGCGAGCGAGTGGCTCCCCTCCTTCCTGGAGTGGCTTCCAGAAACCGAGGCTGTTCGCCCTCTCTTGTTCGTAACGCCCCCGTGCACATTGCTCATGCCAAACTCTGCTCCTTCCAAAACTACGTGCATTGGGCCCTCGTCTTGAATAGAGCCAACTATGGCGCCGTCCTTCCCCCGCCGCCTCCGTTCCGCCCACCCTGCTCCTCCCGCCCGGGCCGCGCTGCAGGGCCCGAATAGGGTCTCGGAAAGGGCGGGGATCCGAAAGAAGACTCCAGGGGGGTCTTGAGAAAAAAAAAAAAAAAAAAAAAAAACAGAAAAAAAAAAAAAAATATAAAAAATAAAAAAAAAAATGAAAAATAGAAAGAAGAAAAGAAACAAAAAAAAAAAAAAAAAAAAAAAAAAAAAAAAAAAAAAAGACACAAAAAAAAAAAGAAAAAAAAAAAAAAAAAGAACAAAAAAAAAAAAAAGACAAATAGAATATAAAAAGAGAAAAAAAAAAAAAAAAGAAAAAAAAAGAAAAAAAAAAAAAAAAAAAAAAAAAAGAGAAAAAAAAAAAAAAAAAAAAACGAAAAAAAAAAAAAAAAAAAAGAAAAAAAAGAAAAAAAAAAAAAAAAAAAATAAAAAAAAAAAAAAGAAAAAAAGAAAAAAAAAAAAAAAAAAAAAAAAAAAAAGAAAAAAAAAAGTCAATGAACAGAGAAACAGAGAAGGGGGTCTTGAGAGCAATGACAGGTGAATCACGCGAGCGCTCCATCGCGTGACTCAACTTGCATTGCCGTGAGCCCTCTGGGAGCCCTCCCAAGCTGCGCTGAGTACCCGACAGAGGCCCATGAGGGCCCCCAAGAGCATGGAAAGGGCAGTCACGTGCGCGCTCTCCCGCGTGTCTGCATTGTCACTGCTGTTGAAGCTATCTGGGAGCGCCCCTACGCCAGTGGAGGGGCCCAAGAGGGTCTCGAAGGGGCCTCAGGAAGGCCCCCCGCGGGGGCTCAACAAGCCCTGGTGGCCTCGGGTCGTCTTGGGGCCCCTGGGGGCTGTATTAACACCTTCGCGGGGGGCGGCTGAGGCGACCTTGGGGCCATCCTGGGGCCTCATGGGCCGTCTGAGAGAGTGGAGAAGTCGAAATTACGTACAGGAAACACTTGCAAATACAACCTCAAACAAATTAGCTGATTTCGATGACTCGAGCTCTCGCAACACTGCTTCTGAAAGCATCTTGGGTCGTCCTGGATGCCTATTCGGCCGTGGGGGGGGGGCCTTTGAGCCGTGTGGAGCGCCTCTGTAAAAGATTCGGACCGTTATTGGATCGTCTTGGGTGTCCTGGGAGCTCTCTTGGGCCGCTCTAGGGACGTCTGCGACACCTCTGGAGCGGCTCGTGTGCCGTTTGGGGCCCCCAAGGGCTGTGTTGGCACCATCATGGGAGCGTCTGAAACGGTCGTGGGGCGATCTTGAAGGCCTCTGGGGCCTTCGTAGAGCCTGGAGAAAGCGGAAAGGCAGAGGAGCGAACAAAAGTTCAAACACTTATAAAACTAATAAATGAGCTTGTCCTTTTAGCCATGATAGGAATGTTCGTGGAAGGCATCTGGGCTAGTCTTGAAGGCCTCTTGGGCCATGAGGAGGTCATGCGGGATGCGTTGAGCGCCTCTGCTAGCGATTTAAAGCGTTGTTGGAGCGGTTCGGGGGCATCTGGGGGTTTCCTGGGCCGTCTGGAGCCGTCTGGGACGCCTCATGGGCGCCTTTGGGGCCGTCTTGCGGCCCCCTTCGCTGCTTGGTTCGTCTTAAAGTGTGGAGAAGACACAACGACGGCACACATGTGTTCATGCGTTATGTGTATGCATGGATGTATGCATGTACGTGTGTATGTATGTATGTATGTATGTATTGCACGCATGTGTGTAAGGTTGTGTTTATGTGCATGCACATATTAATTTAATTCGAATTACAATTATGTGTGTGCATGTATATGGATATATACGTTCGTCCATACACACATACGTACATACGTACATACACACACATACGTACTGGAACACACATATACATACATACATACTTACATACAGACCTACGTACCTACATATAGACAGACAATCAGACAGACAGACATACTCGCATATACATACGTATATATATGTATATATATATATATATATAAATATCCGCCACGAGTGCCAGAGCTGAGACCGAGAGGACGAACGCAGCATGTGGAGAGGGCAGCGCTTGTTTTCATCTCGGTATGTGTACACAACTGGAGCCAGGCGAAGCAGCTGCCACTGCTATCGAGAGCAGCCGGGGCGCGAGCAGCGCGACGGAGCGCAGAGGGGCCAGACAGATGAGGTCCCACACGGGGAGAAATATATTCCAAGAGTGGGCTGCAAATAACGGAAAGGGCGGCACGTAGGCGGGTGCACTTGAGCCCGAGGCCAGCGGCGCATGGCCTGACAAGTGCGGCACTCTCTGCTAAAGGGCTCTGCTTCACGTTTCAAAACCGGACAGCCCGCCCCACCGCCACGAATGCCAGAGCTGAGATCGAGAGGACGAACGCAACATGTGGAGAGGGCAGCGCTTGTTTTCATCTCGGTATGTGTACACAACTGGAGCCAGGCGAAGCAGCTGCCGCTGCTATCAAAAGCAGCCGGGGTGCGAGCAGTGCGACGGAGCACAGGGGGGCAGACAGATGAGGTCCCATACCCCATAAGGCAGACATGGCCGAGTCAGCATATTTGACGCGGTCGAAAAGAAAGACAGGCACGAATATGTCCTGGATATCATTAGCACGAGCATTTGCGTATGAGATTGGCAAAGGTTTGCCTGGGCTCACTAATCACAGCGTGCTTGATTACTTTGGCAAGGGCATTGGCGAGGGCAGCAGGATACGCGGCCGCGAGCGCGGTGTACTTACAACCAGCGGGGCTTTGACCAGAAAGAATGACATGCTTGTTACCAGTGCGTGAACAGAGGCCGCGACGGCCACGACACTGGCGCGCCACGGGCTCGAGGGCCCCTGTGTTCCAGGAAGCTATTATGGTGCGCTTCTGCCACGGAGCGCTGAACTGACACTGGTCTAAGTCGCACGTTCGAGCTTGAGGAGCCCGCAGGAGGAGGGAGATAGCCCTGGCATGCCACAGCAACGAGCTAGCTAGGTTCTCCAGCTGAACGGGTATACGCAGACCATTGCAGAGGCGAGCGACACGGCTCGCAATCGGGCGGACTCAGAAGCAGTCAGGCCGTCAATGCCCATCGGCTGGTCGCGCGAACTCAGAGGCCTCCTGAGGGCTCGCGACCAGGTTGTGCACGGCGCCCCCAAGAACGCGGCGCCGACGGCGCGGCTGCGCAGCCGCGCAGCCGCCGCCGCCTCGAACGCGGGGCGCAAGTGGTCTTCCAGCGGCGAGCGGGCGGTGTCGAGGCCGAGCGCCGAGAGGCCCTGGCGCTGCGCGGCCGCCGCGAGGTGGCCCGACCCGCAGAACAGCTCGAGCGCGACGCGCCGCCTGCAGAGCGACCCGCGCTGCGCCGCCTCTCGAAAGCGGCGCTGCAGACGGGGCCGCGCCGCATCGCCAGGCCCGCGAGCCGCTGGCTCGCCAGCAGCGGCGGTGCCAAGCTTCGCGCCCGAGCCGCGGGCCGCCGGCGCCCCCTCCTGCTTCCTGCCCCTGGGCCTGCCTGCGTCGCCTTTGCGAGCCGCGGCGGCGCCGGGTGCAGGATGTTCGCCCCGGCGAAGCCCTTCTCGAGCAGCGCGCGGAAGCGCTGCTCCACGGGGTTGCCGTGCGCGCAGACGTCGTCCGCGACCCCCTGGAGTTCCCGAAGGAGGGCTGTCTCCTTCGCACGCCGCCGCATCGAGGACACGACCGCCCAGCGACCGCGGCGAAACACCTGCTCCAACGATCGCCTTTGCGTCAAGAGGTCGTCGCCGACGCCGCCGCGCCGCGCCCCGCACATGCGCGGGCGGAGATGGCTGATCCCCAGCGCCGCGGCGGCCAGCGCAAACCACTGGTTCAGCCGGGCCGGGTCGAAGCACCAGAGCGGCGTCCTTGCGCGCCCCTTCAAGCGGAGGGCCACGAGAACGGGCGCGAGGTAGAGGCCCAGGTCGAAGAGGATGGACTCGTCGAAGGACCCCGTCTTGCCTGCCTGGCCGCGATCCGCTGGGCGCAGCAGAGGGCCCCCGAACTGATAGGCTACCCCCGCCTGGGCCGACGGCCCCACGAGGCTGTCTGCGGTCAGCCTCTGCGCCTCGGCCGGGCGGAGGTAAGCCGAAAAGCTGATGGCCAACCAGGCGGCCACCTGCGGCTGTTGCCAAGCGATCAACATCCCTCCAAGGGCAAACACCACCGCTCTCGGGATCGGGGGCCTGGCGAGGGCTGGCGCTCGTCGCTCCCAGGCCTGCAACGCTCGAGATGCCCGGGGCAGGAGCGCGCCGGCTTGCCTCGGGGGCCCTGGGGTGAAGTGGGAGATCGCCGCAATCGTCTGCGAGCCGATGTTCGTTGCAGCCCCCTCCAGGAATCGCATCGTAAAGTATTCTGCCAGGATGGTGCCCAGCTGGGCCAGGGAGCTCCAGCCCAGGCGGCGGCTCGAACAGTAACCCACGAAACTGTGGAGGAGGTGGCGGTAGAAGGTCGCCGTGTTCGGCCGCGCCGCCAACTGCTCCAACAGGGCCAGCCCCGCGGAGCTGGTCCGACCGCTAGCAGCTCGCGCGGCCAGCTGTGCCCGCTGCCTCGCCCTTGCCGAGGGCGGGCGGGCTCCGCGTCGCGGCGCGCCCAGCACCGCGGCAGCCAGCGCGGGGGCCGGGGGCCCCAGGAGCCGCCAGCCGGGCGCGGGCGCGCGCATGGCTGAGCACCCGGTGCCCGCCGAACCACCCGAGCCTGCCGCGGCTGAGGGGGTCTGACGGGTTCCTTTCTGAGGCG